GTGCATTTCTTTACCCGTCGAAGCGTGGCCAGATTTGACATACTGTTTATTGACTTTAGAATGTAATTAGCTGGAACCTTCATGTTTTGGATTGAAACGTACCATTAAAATAAATCCTTTTTGCTTTGCTTGTTTCAATTCTCTAAATTCTATTTTAAGGAACCAGGAGTATGCGTATCAGGATTCAGAGAGTTCAGGTAAAAATCAGAGCTATGATCTGAAACAAAAAAAAGCAACAACGTTTTATTAACCTTGTATAATAGAGACAGTTTTAAAAAGAACTGTTCTTGTTAAGTGTTTTGTTTTTTGAAGTGATGTCTAATGTAGTAATAGTACTCGTTAGTTAAATTGATGATGATGATGATGGTGATAATGTTTGTTGTTTATACTGGTGATAAAACGATAACAGAACAGAAATGAAAATTTATTTTAGATTTAAGCATTACAGCTTATCATCATCAACCATTATTTGTTTTGTTTTGTTTTGGGTTTTACGTCACATCGACACAGTATAGGTCAATATCGCGATGTTCCAGCTTTACTGGTGGATAGGTGCCCTTCGTGCATTATTTCAGGCACGAACGGGCACCTGAGTAGAACCACCGACGTTCCGTAAGCTCATCAACCATTAAGTATATGCATATACAATAATTACAAATAAATAAGTAGCATACTAACATCATGGATTGAATTATATACATTATTACGGTTAGATATACATGTATTTAATTTGTTTTAAAGGGATACTCGGGCAAATTAATGACAAAAATGTAAAAAATTATCTAATGTACTCAAACCACGCTAAATGACATTTCGTAAAGTCCCAGCACGAATTTCTGTATACATTATATATATTTCGGGTTTTGAAGTTTAAATATTTCCAAATATGTTGAACGAAATTTGGACGCCGACAGAATCACCGAGTCGTTTTAAAAACAAGTCACGTGACTTGAACAAACCCTGAAACCTACAATAACAGATCTTGTGGGTATTGTATAATTGAGACAATTCTAAGTCATTCATTTGACATGTTCTTTAATGTTTACAAAGTTCACTGTGACAACTATTGTAAAATCTGAACACTCTAACCTGACCCACGTGGGCCAAGTTAGGAAACAACTATTTTATTCTTTATAAGGAAAAAAGATTTGTCCCTGAGACTGCCTAGTGTATTCATTTTGAGGACATTTACATAATAATGAATGAAAAATTCAAAACGACGAAATGAAAATTTTGCCTGTGTTGCACATGAGAGAGTACACATCTATATAATGATACATTGTATTTAATTTTATAAAAATGGGTCAAAGTCAGAAAAGGCCGGGTTGCATTTGTACACCAAATATCATGAGGCTGTGATGTTAAGAAAAACATTTTCCATTGACTCATTAATGTCGAAAATTTAATTCAGTAGGTAAACAGGAAGTGGATAAGCTGCAGACTTGAAATCGAATCCCACAGTATGGGACCATGTGTCAATGCTGCATGCCAAATATCAAGAGGCTGTAATAAGTAGTTGCTGAGAAAACTGTTACGAAAATTTCCTACCATTGACCATAAATGTCGAAAAATCTAACTAATTTAACCAAGTGGATAAACAGGATGTGGATGAGCGACAGACCTGAAATCAAATCCCACGGTATGGGACAATGTGTCAATGCTGTATGCCAAATATCAAGAGACTGTGATAAGTAGTTGCTGAGAAAACTGTTACGAAAATTTCCTACCATTGACCATTTATGTCGAAAAATCTAACTAATTTAACTAAGTGGATAAACAGAAAGTAGATGAGCGACAGACCTGAAATCAAATCCCACAGTATGGGACCATGTGTCAATGCTGTATGCCAAATGTCAAGAGGCTTGTTGCTGAGAAAACTGTTACGAAAATCACCTACCATTGACCATTAATGTCGAAAAATCTAACTAATTTAACTAAGTGGATAAACAGGAAGTGGATGAGCGACAGACCTGAAATCAAATCCCACAGCATGGGACCATGTGTCAATGCTGTAGGCCAATTATCAAGAGGCTGTAATAAGTAGTTGCTGAGAAAACTGTTACGAAAATATTTTCCCCGCCTGCCCGCCCGCCGCCCGACATTCACCATACTATAACCCGGATTTGCACCAGTGCAACCCGGCCAAAAATGATAACAATAAATAAGAATTAATTCAAATATAAGAAAACACGTTCAAATTGTTCGTTTCCGCTTATGAATGATTCAAAATAATATATTTTACCTGAAATATTTACCTGATGATAATAATGATTTACCATATACAATATTTCATTATTTAAAATGTGAAAATATTTTATTCACTTAGCCCCCTTTCCGAGAATGACAAGATAGATTTTGTTTGGTTATTAACTGGTCTTTACTTTTTAAAGTACAAAACATGTGTACATCGTCATCTTAATTGCAAAACAAACAACCACCAATAATATCTGAATTTTGCTTGTTTTATTCCAGTTATAATACTGCATGTTAGTAACGTCGATGTTTATATTAACCATAAACACGTCCGGGGCAAATGCATGTAAATTGTTTGTTTGTTTGTTTGTTTAATAGTATTAATAAATCTTCTGTATCAAAATGTTTAAATCCAGAAATTGTTTATCAGGGCCACATTATTAATTTAAATCCAAATTTTATAAAAAAATAAAACAAATTATTAATTAATCCTCTGAATAGAAATATAGTACATTATTATCAACTCTCCAAATAACAATGATAATGCGTTACTTAACTTTCTTAACAACGATTAAACACACAAGGTATTTTGAATATATATCTGTGATTCAATCTCAAATTTAGATTAAAATCCAAGTTAAATTATTCTTTTGGATCCAAGAATTATTATTAAATTATACCAATGTTTTAAAAAAAAATTAAATCAAGGCATGATAATCTTCTGGGTCAAAAATTTAAATCAAAGTGTTAATACTATTTCTTATCAACAATTTCATTTTAATAACGATTGATGATAAATTTCCTTTGTAAAAAAGTAAACTTTTTTTTAAATGCCCTCTGAATCAGAATTCTTAATAATGGTACAAAAGGAAATGATTATAGAGGGAATAATTATAGAAGTTAAATAAAATACAAATTGAATGCTTTGACTTAATCATTTTATTTATAACTATTATAATGATCAAAATTAAATGTTATTAATAACAATAAAAGACGAATCAAAGTTACATTCAAAAATCAATGCCCTGTGACCGACATTTATCAACAAAATACAATATTGCCGAAAAAATAATCCTGTACAAGATTAATTTGGCAATTATTATCGGGGATTATTGAGTTTTAGCTAAGAGTGAGGTTTGGCGCGCCTAAAACCGGTTTAAACTCCCCAGTGGTTTAACTACCACTGACCGTTCCAAGGCGGTACCCCTTTGTGTTCCTTCACGTGCCTTCTTGTCTGTATTGTTACTTGTTTTTGGATGTTTACGTGTTTTGTGATGTCTGTCTCGTTGGAATGTCGTTGACGGTAGGTATTTTCCCTCCCCCCTTCCATTTTCACCCCCCACCTTTTCACCCGTTCAGCCCTCTTCCTTTAATTCCCTTATGGGCCTGTTTTGTTTATATTATTTCACATTACATGTCCCGCCCCTTTCGCCCTTGTGTCCACTTTTCACGTGCCTTCTTGTCTGTATTGTTACTTGTTTTTGGATGTTTACATGTTTTGTGATGTCTGTCTCGTTGGAATGTCGTTGACGGTAGGTATTTTCTCTTCTCCCCCCCCCCCTTCCATTTTCACCCCCACCTTTTCACCCGTTCAGCCCTTTTCCCTTTAATTCCCTTATGGGCCTGTTTTTGTTTATATTATTTCACATTACATGTCCCGCCCCTTTCGCCCTTGTGTCCATTCCAGGTGCTTGTTTTGTGCCTTCTGGGGGTCCTGCTTGGGTGTGTCCGGGGGCGGCGTCCTGTGAACGTTGCCTTAGCCTTGTTGATCTTTATTCTTGTTATTTTAGTGCTATCTTTTATGGCAAGATAAAATGAGCAAATCAAAATGTATTTAGGTTCTTGATAGTTTTAAATCAATATATAAAATACTCTTAGGTCACACACATTGATCTTTTGATCTTTAAAACGTATCAAATACGGGAGTACTGCACTAGAAGAAAAGTTGCCCTACCTAGTGTGCTTATAATTGTATTTCATAGATACATTAGGTAAATGAATTTATTACTATACATTTTAGTACCCAGACAAAATTTCCGAAAAGGCTCTCTTTAAAAATGTAATATGCAGAATATTTAATATGCAGAAAAATACAAGCCAATCAAATGGTAAAGCTGGTATATGGTAGTTGAAGATTCTGAATTGTTTTGCACTGAATTACATCACAGTTATGATAAATTTCCATCAAAACTTCCGTAAATCATTGTCAATGTGTCATCGTTTCAAACAGATGATTTCGTGTTTATATTTAAGATTACATGAACAAGTTAAAGGATCTCCTCTTAGGTCAAAAAACCAAAAACCATAATTTGAATTTCGTACATAGATCATTTCGGGCACTTAGTTTAAATAGAAAGACATGCGAAAGAAGATACTTTAGAAATATACTAAAAAAAAACAAAAAAAAACCAAAAAAAAAAAAAAAAAAAAAAAAACCAAAAAAAAAAACGAAAATCGCATTTTTGTTCTAGTCTTAGAAAGGCGTTGCAATGCTTTTCAATTTTGGGTCATTTTACACAAATTATTCTTGAAAGAAACGGAGATAACGAATGATCTGAAATTTTATGCACAACCTCGATCTCAATCAACTTTATCTCGAGAAATATGTCAAAATCTCCGGTGGAGTCCCTCTACCGTTGACAGACATATGTTGTGTCAATTTAAAATACCTCCTTGTAATTTATTATTTGAGTGTTTAAATATGAGACATACTTCCCAACAATCATCTTGTTTTAGTTTTTATGTAACGTTCACGTAAATAAAATGAACATGTCTCAAACGCAATCTTTAAAATGTGAATTCAAGTAGATTGTTTAAAACATTTTATTTATAGAAAGCGTAGATTATTTTAATAGCTTTAAAAAGATACAAACAGTTTGATTTAAATAACCGAATTCCATTAGAAATTCTTGACATCATATAACAAACACTTTTTGATGAAATATTTAATTGTTAAACTTGTTTAACATATCTTCACACGTCTTATTTGTGTATTTTAGGCTTAAAATTAGTAAATTTTTAATAATAGGATATTTCTACTGAATGATACACTAAGTATAACTATTATTCAGTCTTGTGTTGGCTATGCTTTATCTTTAAAGTGTTTGACTACTTTCGACCAAATATTTAACACGTCCTCCTTGTAACCGGCCTGCATAGCAATGTATGTACATTTTTCTTTTTTGGTATCTAAACAGTGTTTTGCTTCATTAGTTATCCCCTGCCAATCACCGTCACTGAACGTTTCATACTTCAATCCTGGAATCTTATGCAGGACATATCCAAACAACAAAACGTCATCGAGATGAAAAAACGGCGACTTCGAGGCGGATAGATATAAATATGGCATTATATCATTCGTCATACTCACAAACTTTCCTTTGCAAAATTTCAGATATCTTTTAACTCCTTTGAAATGACTTTCATCGACATACCATTTTGATGTAAAATCTCTGTGTATGAGATCGGATTTGTATTCACAATAAACGTTTGCCTTTTGTTGCGCTTTCGGATGTTTTAATTTATAGAGATACAGAAACATATTGACTACAATGTCGTCATCAACTTTCAGAATAATCTCCGCATTGCGACATCTCTCCGTAATCCATTTAAAACCCATCACACCTTTATGTGTAAGATTGGTGTAGGAATCTATAAAATCTCCTTGTACAATATCCTTATACTTTTCGAACTCCATTTCAAGCGCAGATTGGACAACGTGACTCACAGTTCTGCCGACAAGAAACACAACTCTGACTGTTGCTAAATACGAGTAATACGTGTCGTTTGTCCAAGTTGCTCTTATACTCTGTCTCTGTTCAAAATGGTCTGTCGCTGAATTAACTACAACAAGCACCGTAAGATTCTTCACAGAACGGCAAAGATGACTGTTCTCAATAACATATGGCGCACTTATGGTTAATGGAACACTCGGATTAGACGCATTTATAAGTCGGAACAAATACGGCTGTACTTTGACAGGATACTTTAAATCTTTAGCATCTTCAAAATAAGCATCAGTATCAAGCTGGAAATATTCAGTCTGATATCGCTCCAAATACAGCAATGAATTTGTAAATATTATAAATACTAACATTGTGGCAAAAATCGTGCATTTCTTTAACTGTCGGAACATGGCTAGATTCGCTATTCTGTTGATTAAATTTGTAATGTAATTAGCTGGATATTCATGGTTTTATTTGAAACGTACAAATAACATAAATCAGGATTTCGAGAGTTCAGGTGAAAATCGAAGCTGCGATCTGAAACGGAAATAAAGCAACAGCGTTTTATTAACCTTGCATTTTCATTGAAGTAAGTTTTTAAAAGGAATGCTCTTTTTTAAGTGTTTTGTTTTTGAGGTGTTGGTTAATATGATAAAAGTACTCGTAATCGTGATGATGATGATGATGATGATGATAAATAGATTTATATCAATATATAACGAAACACGTTCAATTTATTCGTTTTCTCTAAGGAATGACTCAAAATAAAATGTTTTACCTGAAGTAGTAATATGATGAACATAATGATATAAGCCCCCTTTCCGACAATGACAAGACAGTTTCGCTTTGATAATTTAATGGTCTTGACTTCTTTAAAATACAATACATGCGAACAACGTCATCTTAAAATGAATCACAAGCATGTAATAGTAATATCTATTTGTTGCTTTCACTGGAGCTTGAAATTCAGTCTAAAGTACGACATACCTATATAATACCTAGCTTAATATATATTATCATGGATTTTTTAAATCGGACTTTAGGGCGATAATTGAAAGAATTTCAAGCTCATTTCAATTATATTCCTGCATGCCAGTCACGTCGAATTTCATAGAAAAACACGTCTGCCGCAAATGTATGTTAATTGTTTTGTTTGTTGTATATTTAAGAACTAATAATGCAGTATTATAATTGCGTTATAAAGATTTGGCGAGGTTACTATGACCGTGTATAAACGGTTGTTGCCCTAGCAACTCGAGTCCTATTCAAGCTTTCAAGTTAATCATTTCTTTTGTTATATAACCGGTCATTCAATCTGTATATCAAAATGTAATACTATAAACGTAGGAAAAGACAGGTGTAGATACAAAGATTAAAAACTTCGTGTTAAATGCCGTTTGAACATTATTTGTCTTACAGTTGAAACAAAAGATAAAGGGACATTATGTGCACGGCGTGTTATAAATGAGCAATATGCTATTTTTTGAACAAATATTCGTAAAATGATCGTTAAAATATATACATGTAATTCTGGATGGATGCACGGAAAGTGTGTTTTCTTTTTAATTCAGGAAAACTATGCTATTTTATACGCGATATCGTGTTCTTTATCACGTGCAGAAATTGTTTTAAATATTGCGCGCGGAATTCTGGACATCCTTAGTGCATATATAATTATATATGTCCAGGAAGTCAACCATCGTCCGAATAAGCGGTGGCTACATTCTTTATACGATTTGATAATGATATCACGTGCTATTCTATAGAGACAACTGCCCATTCGTTTGTAACACTAGATACTATATAATATATATTATATTGCTGTACACATTCATTTTATACATCTATACATTGTTATGCATGTACACAATTATCATTGTATACCACTAGCCACCTAACATTGCTTTGTGTTTTCATTTTATATGTTAACTTTTTTTGAGAGGTAATTAATATAAAAGTCATCTTGAAAATGAGAATTAAGTCGATTCATTTGCGGATGTCTCTAAATTCAAAATGTCGCCATTTTCATGTTTAAATGTTGAATTCTGCTTATAACATTCCATATATTGTATGCAAAATAAACTATCATGAATTTGAATATTTTCAGTATATTCTAACAAAAGACAAAAAAAAATAACCAGTTATATAAAAACTACAAACAAATTGGTCACTGTGGTCTGCCCGGAGCACACCGTTGCTCTTTTTATAACGTCATTTTTATTTAAGATGCCGTAGAAAAGGGGGCATAATTTGATCAAAATCCATGACAGAGCTATGACCTTTGCCTGGAAGACGAAAAAATGGTTACACACACGTCTGATATATAAAATTGTATAGGAAATAAGCGGAATTAGACGTAGACTAGTTGACTTTTACTGGGTGGTTTAGGCTCAGTAAACAATGTATTGAAATCAATTGGAACATTTAATTATGAAAATGATATGATAGAAAAAATAATATTTAAAGTAGAAATTGTAGGCGCGCCATGCAGTTCTATAACCATATAGTAAGCAGTATGCGGCGCGTGTCGATTTTGCGACACATGTTAGGTTATATGAGTAACCCCATAGAGTCTAAATTCAAGAAAAACACATGTGAGAAAAGCGCTAAGCAGAATACTGATTAAGAATTATCTTCCAAATGAAATTTAAGGTTTTGTATTATGAAACGCTGTAAATAAACAAAACTTTCATACATAATATGAAATTACCATGTATACAACATAAGTATTATATCAATTGACATTATGCCGCCTGTCGATCAAGCTGGCAGGGGTCTTACAGATAAGCCAATCAGCGATCTTTATCAGTTTCACGCTAAGATGTCTGCAAAGTCCACCATTTAGACAAGCTATTCGTATAAGACAATGATGCAGCAGTATTTATATTGAAATTATTTTGATTTTTTTGTCAATTTAAAGCTATTAAATCGATGTATCTAACAGATCAAATATCCCAACATATTGACAGATGGAGTCAGTTACTTCATTTTACAAAAAAAAATCAGTAACTTTGTATATATAAAGATAATATGTTATATGGCAGGTACGAAGGTTAAAACTGGCTATACCACAATGCATTAAACAAGGAAAAAGTTTCAACAAATACTCTATTCCTTTCTTTATTACAATTATTTCTATTTATAATCACATAATACATGTATATTATAAGGTCCCAGAATATCCAGATGATATGACATTTTTTGTTCGTTTATGAAATAGTGTCAATAAAATGCTGCAGTAGAAAAAAAGTTCTTGCAAATAAATGAGAGAATATGCAATGAATACTTTAGGTAATGTTATCCTACCTAAATATTTCTATTAAAGCTCAAGATTAAATATTTTATTACATCTGCTTCAATAACATCATATCTGATTACTGTTTTAATTGAAAGCCGAGGTCTCACGTTTGGTGCATGCGAAACTTATTTTGAAGTGAATAATATTGTGTTTTATCACGAACCATATCTAATGTACAAATATACATATAATCATATATCATACTACAAAGTTACCCAAGGGCAATTTTTCCTCATTCAATTTTAACAATTTATGCACAAAAGCATTATAGACATGTATAAGTGATTTCGCACATAAAACTCAAGAAACATTTGTAAATGTTGCTGTGTTATTGATGTACTTTTTCTATTTATATGTTCCACTACTTCAATTTCATCTATCTTTGAATTTGAATTTGTAAACTAAAGTGATATATTGTTAGTAACATCTTCTTTGAAGTCAGCGAGAAATATAACAAGATCATGGCCAAACGTTTTAGTCATCATTAATTCATGAATGCAGTTATTTGTTACTTTTTTAAATACCATTATACATTGAACTATTCAAGAAAAGCATTAAAATTTTATATATACCAAATTATATAAGGTAAATTCATTAGTCACTTAAGTGGCATAATAGTTTCCGGTAAACGTCGGTACCGTGTTCTGTCTAAGGTTTTAAAGACCGGGTTACGTGAATCATTGGGCGGAGCAATCTCTTCTTTGGCGTAATGTCAACTAATCCGTTTCTTCCTGTTATGGTCGACTAAGAATTTAGTATTTCGTACAACCTTATCTATTTCCTGTAACCTTATAGTATTCCTTTGAAACTTTGAATATTTCCCTGTGATCATCGTCACTTCCAGACAAGATGGCAAAACTTTGTCGTTGATCTATACAAAATCACGCCCAAATTTTACTAAGAATATCGGTCAAGTTTTTCGTACCACCACGCTTATTTCCTACATAAATACTAGTTTTGTGACCAATATCCCCACCCGAAGTCAAGAGGGCATAACTCTGTCATGGATTTTGAAAATAATTATTCTCATTTTTTGGCTAAGATGTTTGGTTAAGTTTTTCATACCATTCCACGTGTTTTTTTCCTCTGTAAAGCATTTTTGTAGCATTGGAGACTTGTTTGTGACCATCCTCTCACAGACAAGAGAACATAACCCTGTATCTGTAATGGATATTGACAAAATTAAAATTTTCTATACCCTTTGAGGTATTGCCTTAGATTAGTAACCATCATCCCAACTTCCAGGAAAGTATAAAAGCACACCGTATTACCGACGGCAATGATGGCAGATCATTGCAGTGACATGGCAGATAGCTGAAATTTACCGCTCGGTACAGGTAGGTTATAAATTTGGTTGGTATTAGTATGTTACACAAATACGGCCCATTTCATTGCTATGAAACTATTGTCCATTGACTGGAGATACTATTAGGTAATTTTGGACTCGTTTTTTCCTGTTTTAAGACTATTTTGAGCAGGTTAAAAGTGACAGCTTCGGAAAAATCCGTGAAAATGTCTTAACCAAATGGCAGGATTATGTGTTATTAATATAGACTTTCATCCATAGGGGCCACGCAAGTAAAATATCTATCCCGTGAGTCTTTTCTTGAAAGTTTTACAGACGTACAATCTGGTCCGGTCGAAGAAAAAAATGCTGCCGTTGTAGGCAGCTACTTATTTTAAATGCTGCCGTCGATGGCAGAAATACCATGAAAGTGGCTAACATTCTGACAGGAAAAGAAGGTCAATCTTTTATAAATTCCTCTATTCTTTGCGTCCTTAAACTCGGAATTGAGACGTTAAACTATCATTTCTAATAGTTTCTCAAGATAGAAAAGTTATTAATACGGTATGTGTAGCGAAAAAGCTTTTTAGCAGCACACAGTTAGAATACAAAATGTGATGATTCAGTACGGCCAAATTGCACTATAAATAGAGCAATTAACATGAAGAAAATTCATTTTTCTATATTGATGCATTTGTGCTTGATCTGTTGTGTCAGTTACACGCATACAATACCATATGTATCATAAGTTTAGCAGCGATAATTCACTCCCTTTTAAAGACATAACGCCATTTTGATTCTTCCTTTAAATGTTCATGTTTCAGGAAGAATTATAAATGGATGTTGTTGGCAAGTACTAGATACACGATCCGATATTACATATAATATCATAACAGTTGATAAATTGTTATAGAGCAAAATGTTATTATTCGCCCAATAAATGTTCATACTAAATAACCTAGAACTTTATCAACATTTTTTTTCAAGCAATGTTTTATAAATATGTCCAAATGATACATGTTTATTGAGTCTTTCAATCCTTGAAATTCTAATGGTAGACAAATCTACATTAAATGTTCAAACGGACACCGGCAGTTAAATTGTGCCTTAATTAAAAACACATTTTCAAAATTTCTAAATAAACAACAGAACATAAAACGGTTTAAAAAGTATAAGGTTAATCTATGCACAGCCTTTACTGTAAATTAAATTAACTTCATGACTAGAGATAGATATAAATATAAGAAATATAAATATAAGAAATATAAATATAAGAAATATAAATATAAGAAAGGGAAGCAGTGTATTTTATTACTTACTTACCGTAAAGGATTATCCATAAAATGTTAGGTCTTGAACATGTTTCATCATTCACAATTTAACAGGTTTGAAATTTTTATACCAGAAATAGAAGCTTAAAATCACTTATTCTAAGTCTTTCGTCGAGTTATTCACACATTTAACTATTTTGTAAGTGTAAAAAAGAGGAAAGAAAACAAGTATTTTACCTGCTTTTGTACTTTAACTTCCTTATGTGTCAAATATCATTTGCGCACAATGTGAACAATATAACATTAATACCAAGCCACCAAATCTATTTACCCTTATATTTCTAAAGAATGTTGTAAACACACACGCGCGTTTTCTTTATCAAGATAATGTCGGTTGTTTATCATTAATAACATTTAGAATACTTGAATGATAATTACTTGTAATTCAGTAATATTGTACACAGATAACTGTCTTCATTTAGTGAAAAGATTTAAAATTATTTGTAACTTTGTGTTTTTTTCTTTTAAGTCAATCGTGCGTCTATAAACTCTACATGAAAAATATGTTATAACGTAGATCCTTTCAATGTGAACCCTTAAAAGTAAAAACTGCTAGACTAAAATGATGATGATCGGAATGCAAATCTAAGTGGTTATATCGTAGAAACACGTGGTAAATTTGTCTTAATTTTTAGTTAGAAAGAATTGAAACCAAAATTATTATTTACGGCGGTAACGCACAGTTATAACAAACTGCTCGCCAGACATACTTAATGTGATTAAACTCGACTTAGAACGACTATACACTGAAATGACATTAAGTAAGAATAGACTTTGGTTAGAATTTGGTGACTATGTTATTTTGTGGGGTAAAATAAAAAAAACGCACGCTCCAATTGAGGTTAAAGAACAACTGCCAACCAAACGCAAAAGATGACGATTATATGCCCTAACGGTTTTCATAGGAAGAAAATCACTACCGATATTACTCCCTGCATTTTGAACTATAAGTTGCAGAATTTTATATGACTCATCGTATGAACAGCAGGTGGCGCGAGCGTCGCCAAATATGAATATCCGTCACTTTTTGCTAAAAGAATGCAAAACGTTCAGATAGTTACGTCCCGTTTTTCGGTTAATGCCATGTTTTTTCTTGAATTACTTTAAACGGAAGGTAAGTATGCTATTCACATAAGTCGGTACGGGATATATATGTGACAAACTCATCATGTTTCAATTTTTAATTTTCATGTATCAATCTGTCACAGGATGAGAAAAATGTACAACCTGACCGGGACCTTTCGTAATACCATTCCGCGGCTCTACCGACCGAGCTATCCGACTACTTACACATTTGCTCCTACAGTAAATAGTGAAACGTATCTCTAAACGCAGCAAACCTTTCTTACTCTCTTTGGTTATAACTTATGGGAGTAAAGAAGTGCAAATCATCAGGAAATAGACAAGACTAAGAGAAAATTAAATCCTAGTATGAAACAGAAAACCATTGTCACTGTGTCACATGATCACTGTTATAACCGTAAATGCCTGAAGTACAACGTGCCTCATTATTTACCAGGGAACACCGGAATCAAATAACAACAGCTACTTTTATATATAATTAGATCCTTTACAATATTTTCGATCTTTATTTGTAACAAATTTAAATGAATTGATCTGAAGCATTTATCAACAGTTAAACACCTTTGGTGCAAGACTCTTGTCTTGTAGTGTTCCATACCAAAGCGAACCATTTAGGACAAATGAAACCACTATACACTATACACATGTATACAGTGTCGGTATACCACTGTGGCCAGGATTAAAAAACAGATAATTGGCTTCATCACATGCTTTTCAAATTATAAATTCACGAGATAATGTTTTGTTCTTAGTTCAGGCCTACGCTGATCTGTTAAATTATGCTTCAAATTTGATATTCAAAAATACTGATAACTGTTATACAGTATTTAGTGTATAAGCAGGGCACAGGAGATATGTTACGAATTTAACTCTACACACTATTTTGTTTGTTTGTTTCATTTTACGCCTTTTCCCAACAGTATTTCAGTCATATAGGCGGGTAGTTTCCTAACCATCGTTCCTGGAGGGTTACACCAGTACTAGACTATCTTCCTCCGCGCTAAACTGCCAAAGCATCTCCCGGGGATCGAACCCACGCCAGAGAGGTAACTGGATTAGAAGTCATCGACTCTAACCCCTCGACCACGGAGGCGGTCTCTACACACTATAGGTAAATACAATATGAATATATGAATGCATTGTTACATTAAAACCGGCACTTATTTCTAGCAAAGTGAAATATTCCTTTCTGGGTGTTCATGGTTTTTCTAAAAGGCAGACATGTTTTTCAATTGTTGACATATTGACAAATTATGTAAAGCATGGTGGATTTTAGATTTAGGTTGGTAAAGCTCTATATTGGTTGCTTATTTTGTTTAAGTGAGCCGTGTGTCTAAAGTCTATCTAAAGGAGATATTCATGTATTTTGTAAGATTAACAATTAAAGAAATATGAGCGTACGGAAAGGCCATGTTAATTGACACTGACATTGATTCTTACAAAAAAGAGCTTCGATTGTGTAAGGAGCATTCTGAAAGAGTGTTTTGCTCTTGATCAAAAGATTGATGTCCGTCCCCCTAAAGAAGGTTATTTACTGCAGCCGCACAACTTAAATTAGTAAGAAATCTTTGACGTATATTTCTGTATTTGGTACATTGCAATAACAAATGAGATACAGTTTCTCGCATTCCGCATGTGCATGTAGGGGTATCCACATTAGACCTTCTGAACAGGTCTTCATTCAATGAACAACATTCTAATCTTAATCTTGTGTGGAGGATTTGATCTTTACGTGTGCCTGTATTATAGTAGTGGTCTTTTGATATTCTGTTATTTTGGACTTGAAGGAACTTACAGTTGGACTATATTAAAGTGTTGCAGGTGCTAATAGTAGAAGGAAGAAATTATTTTGAGAATAAATATGTTCTGGTTTGAACTGGTGTACAATCGTCAATAAGTCTAAGGTTATATGTACTTTGTTGGGAAGGAGTTAGAAGATTTGAAAGATAAGAAAGTGATATATGCTTTTTTCATTTTATACAATTAGATAAATTTCTGTTTGTTTCTTCAACTTTCTAACAATTCCAACCGAGTTCCTTGAAAAGTGTTATAATGTTACACAGTTTTGTAGCGCCTGCGACTATTCTAGCTGCTTCATGTTGAACGGATGCTATTTCCTTATTTAGTTCTTCAGTTAAATTATCCAATACTACCTCAGCATATTCAAGAAGTAGGCAGACGAATGAATAATACATGCGTTCAAAACTTATTCGTGATTAAAGAAATTTTAAACTTCTGAGTAGTCTAATTATTTTCCAGGCAATATCAAGTAATAGATGAATATCGGTTTTCCAACCGGCATCATGAGATAAAGTTAAACCAAGATGTCTATGTGATGTGACCTGAGCTATTGGTATAGAGTTATAACTAAGTGTAAGATGAGACGATTTAGATAATTTACTTGAAAAAATAATTGTTTTTGTTTTACTTTGTTTAAAAGAAACAAGCAAAGTTTTGGCCCAAGAATGTATCCGATCTAAGTCTCAGTTAAGACTGGTTTCTGCGGTAAGTGGGTTATTTACGACTATATACAAACTCGGGTCATCCGAAAAAGTTTTATGTAAGAAGGTATTTCATTAACGATGTCGTTGATGTAAACAAAAAACAAAAGGGGGGCACAAATTGAACGAAGATTAAACCCATGCTGAGGATACATTTCGGTACTGGACTCTTTGTCGCCTGAAAGACAAATAGGAGGAGAACGATCGAAGAAGCGACCCATTTACACCGAATGAAGATACATATAGTTTAAAGAGGAAACCTTGATGCAATACAAATGTAAAATGATGCAAAAAGCCTTTAAGATGTCACAAAATACAGCCCTAACCTCTTTACCCTGATCAAGAGCTTGACAATTACCTATTTGTATAGGTAAACTAATTGATGCACTGTTCAATCACCTTTTTTAAAACCTGAATGCTGAGGAGTAAGAAAATTATAAGTGACAAGATGATTGTACAGATACTTATGGACACAACTTTCAATCGATTTTCCGATACAGCTTAACAATGAGATAGGGCAATCATTTTCGGGACGTGTTGGATCAGATTATTAAAAATAGAAGTTACATTAGCAAGTTTCCAGGGTGTCGGAAAGGAAGAAGGACAAATAAGTTTGTTATAAAAGGCGGCAGTGGACTGGCTAAAACATGTGCGGCTTCCCAAAGTGATTTAGGGCTTACAGGGTCTTGGCCTTATGCTTTTGAGAGATTAATTAAGGATATTGAGTAAAGCACATTATGCTGCGTAATCTTGGTGTTTGATAGGACTGGTATGTTTGTCTCAATACGGGGAGGAAGTGTTGAATCTTTAACATCTACCTCTGATTTTGAACTAAAGAAATCGGTTAGAATTTCTGCCTTCTTTTGATCGGATGATGCGATGATTATTACTATTAGCTCGCATAATTGCAAAAGTCTTCCTCATCCTCTGTATATAATGTCGGTATATCTATTTGTTCTTCCTTGATAGATTTATGGTAAAGTTCTAGTATTTCGAATCAATTATAGCGAAGTAATATGAGATGTGTTACGTTAAAGTGATTAAGAACAATATGGATAGTTTCAAGTTTTCTTTGTAAAACAATACTTCTTCTAAAAGTATAAAATACAGGGTATAAAAAAAATTTGCCTTACCTAGTTTGTTTATAATTGTATTTCATAGTGAATTGATTACTATACATTTTAGTACCCAGACAAAATTTCCGAAAAACTCCCTTTAAAAAAATGTAAAATGTAATATGCAGACAAATATAAGCCAATCAAATGATAAAGCTGGTAAATGGTAATTGAAGATTCTGAATCAATTCGCACTGAATTACATCACAATTATGATGACTTTCCATCAAAACTTCCGTAAACCATTGTGAAGGCTTCAGCGTTAATAATAGATAATTTCGTGTTTATATTTAAGAAAAAAAATGTTTAATTACATGAATAAGTTAAAGGAACTCCACTGACGTCAAAAAATCAAAAAGCCTAAAAACATAACTAAATTTGAATTTCGTACATACATCAATTCGGGCACTTTAAATGGAAAGACATGCGAAAGAAGATACTTAAGAAATAAACTCAGAAAAAAACACGAAAATCGTATTTTTGTTCTATTCTTTAATCTGGAAAGAAATGGAAGTAGCCAATGATGTGAAATTTTATACAGAGCTTCTTGATCTCAATAAACTTTATCTCGAGAAATATGTCAAAATCTCCCGTGGAGTCTCTTTAACGTTTAACAGACATGTTGCGTCAATTCAAAATACTTCCTAGTAATTTATTTTTAAGGGTTGAGATACTAGACATACTTCCTACAAAAAATATCTTGTTTTAGTTTTTACGTTATCGTAAATATTACAAATAAACGTGACTCAAACACAATCTTTAAAATGTGAATTCAAGTAGATTGTTTAAATCATTTTATTCATAAAAAGCGTTAACTTCTAAAACAGCTTTAAAATATAAAAACAGTTTGATTTAGATAAACGAATGCCATTAAAACTTCTTGACATCGTATAACATACACACTTAGATAAAATATTGAATGGTTAAACTTGTTTATCTTCACACTTTCTTATTTGTGAATTTTAGGCTTAAAACTAATAAATTGTTAATAATAGGATATTCTAATGAATGATAAAAGTAGTAGAACTATTATTCACTTTTGTTGTGGCTATGATTTATCTTTAAAACTACGTTAAAAGTGTTTGACTACTTTCAACCAAATATTTAATACGTCCCCCTTGTAACCGGCCTGCATGGCAATGTATGTACATTTTTCTTTTTTAGTATCTAAACAGTGTTTTGCTTCATTAGTTACCCCCTGCCAATCACCGTCACTGAACGTTTCATACTTCAATCCTGGAATCTTATGCAGGACATATCCAAACAACAAAACGTCATCGAGATGAAAAACGGCGACTTCGAGGCGGATAGATATAAAGATGGCATTATATCATTCGTCATACTCACAAACTTTCCTTTGCAAAATTTCAGATATCTTTTAACGCCTTTGAAATGACTTTCATCAACATACCATTTTGATGTAAAATCTCTGTGTATAAGATCGGATTTGTATTCACAATAAACGTTTGCCTTTTGTAGCGCTTTAGAATGTTTTAATTTATAGAGATACAGAAACATATTGACTACAATGTCGTCATCAACTTTCAGAATCATCTCCGCATTGCGACATCTCTCCGTAATCCATTTAAAACCCATCACACCTTTATGTTGGTATAGGAATCTATAAAATTTCCTTGTACAATATCCTTATACTTTTCGAACTCCATTTCAAGCGCAGATTGGACAACGTGACTCACAGTTCTGCCGACAAGAAACACAACTCTGACTGTTGTTAAATACGAGTAATACGTGTCGTTTGTCCAAGTTGCTCTTATACTCTGTCTCTGTTCAAAATGGTCTGTCGCTGAATTAACTACAACAAGCACCGTAAGATTCTTCACAGAACGGCAAAGATGACGGTTCTCAATAACATATGGCGCACTTATGGTTAATGGATCACTCGGATTTGACGCATTTATAAGTCGGAGCAAATACGGCTGTACTTTGACAGGATACTTTAAATCTTTAGCATCTTCAAAATAAGCATCCGTGTCCAGCTGGAAATATTCAGTCTGATATCGCTCCAAATACAGCAATGAATTTGTAAATATTACAAATACTAACATTGTGATAGTGGCAAAAATCGTGCATTTCTTTAACTGTCGGAACATGGCTAGATTCGCTATTATGTTGATTAAATTTGTAATGTAATTAGCTGGATATTCATGGTTTGATTTGAAACGTACAAATAACATAAATCCTTTCTGCTTTGCTTGTTTTCAAGTTCCCTTTTTAAAGAATCAGGATTTCGAGAGTTCAGGTGAAAATCGAAGGTGCGATCTGAAACGGAAATAAAGCAACAGCGTTTTATTAACCTTGCATTTTCATTGAAGTAAGTTTTTAAAAGGAATGCTCTTTTTAAGTGTTTTGTTTTTGAGGTGTTGGTTAATATGATAAAAGTACTCGTAATCGTGATGATGATGATGATGATGATGATGATGATAAATAAATTTATATCAATATATAACGAAACACGTTCAATTTTAATCGTTTTCTCTAAGGAATGACTCAAAATAAAATGTTTTACCTGAAGTAGTAATATGATGAACAGAATGATATAAGCCCCCTTTCCGACAATGACAAGACAGTTTGGCTTTGATAATTTAATGGTCTTTACTTCTTTAAAATACAATACATGCGAACAACGTCATCTTAAAATGCATCACAAGCATGTAATAGTAATATCTATTTGTTGCTTGCACTGGAGCTTGAAATTCAGTCTAAAGTACGACATACCTATATAATACCTAGCTTAATATATATTATCATGGATTTTTTAAATCGGACTTTAGGGCGATAATTGAAAGAATTTCAAGCTCATTCAATTATATTCCTGCATGCCAGTCACGTCGAATTTCATAGAAAAACACGTCTGCCGCAAATGTATGTTAATTGTTTTGTTTGTTGTATATTTAAGAACTAATAATGCAGTATTATAATTGCGTTATAAAGATTTGGCGAGGTTACTATGACCGTGTATAAACGGTTGTTGCCCTAGCAACTCGAGTCCTATTCAAGCTTTCAAGTTAATCATTTCTTTTGGGTTATATAACCGGTCATTCAATCTGTATATCAAAATGTAATACTATAAACGTAGGAAAAGACAAGTGTAGATACAAAGATTAAAACTTCGTGTTAAATGCCGTTTGAACTTTATTTGTCTTACAGTTGAAACAAAAGATTAAGTGACATTATGTGCACGGCGTGTTATAAATGAGCAATATGCTATTTTTTGAACAAATATTCGGAAAATGATCGTTAAAATATATACATGTAATTCTGGATGGATGCACGGAAAGTGTGTTTTCTTTTTTATTCACGAAAACTATGCTATTTTAACGCGGTATCGTGTTCTTTATCACGTGCAGAAATTGTTGTAAATATTGCGCGCGGATTTCTTGACATCCTTAGTGCATATATATGTCCAGGAAGTCACCCATCGTCCGAATAAGCGGTGGTTACATTCTTTATACGATTTTATTATGATATCACGTGCTATTCTATAGAGGCAACTGCCCATTCGTTTGTAACACTAGATACTATATAATATATATTATATTGCTGTACACATTCATTTTATACATCTATACATTGTTATGCATGTACACAATTATCATTTTATACCACTAGCCACCTAACATTGCTTTGTGTTTTCATTTTATATGTTAACTTTTTTTGAGAGGTAAATAAAAGTCATCTTGAAAATAAGAATTAAGTCGATTCATTTGCGGATGTCTCTAAATTCAAAATGTCGCCATTTTCATGTTTAAATGTTGAATTCTGCTTATAACATTCCATATATTGTATGCAAAATAAACTGAACTGAAATAATCATGAATTTGAATATTTTCAGTATATTCTAACAAAAGACAAAAAAAAATTAACCAGTTATATAAAAACTACAAACAAATTGGTCACTTTGGTCTACCCGGAGCACACCGTTGCTCTTTTTATAACGTCATTTTTATTTAAGATGCCGTAGAAAAAGGGGGCATAATTTGATCAAAATCCATGACAGAGCTATGACCTTTGCCTGGAAGACGAAAAAATGGTTACACACACGTCTAATATATAAAAATGTATAGGAAATAAGCGGAATTAGACGTAGACTAGTTGACTTTTACTGGGTGGTTTAGACTTTTTAAACATTGTATTGAAATTAATTGGAACATTTAATTATGAAAATGATATGATAGAAAAAAATAATATCTAAAGTAGAAATTGTAGGCGCGCCATGCAGTTCTATAACCATATAGTAAGCAGTATGCGATGCATGTCGATTTTGCGACACATGTTAGGTTATATGAGTAACCCCATAGAGTCTAAATTCAAGAAAAACACGTGAGAAAAGCGCTAAGCAGAATACTGATTGCGAATTATCTTCCAAATAAAATTTAAGGTTTTGTATTATGAAACGCTGGAAATAAACAAAACTTTCATACTTAATATGAAATTACCATGTATACAACATAAGTATTATATCAATTGACATTATGCCGCCTGTCGATCAAGCTGGCAGGGGTCTTACAGATAAGCCAATCGGCGATCTTTATCAGTTTCACGCTAAGATGTCTGCAAAGTCCACCATTTAGACAAGCTATTCGTATGATGCAGCAGTATTTATATTGAAATTATTTTGATTTTTTTGTCAATTTAAAGCTTATAAATCGGTGTATCTATCAGATCAAATATCCCAACATATTGACAGATGGAGTCAGTTACTTCATTTTACAAAAAAATATCAGTAACTTTGTATATATGAAGGTAAAATGTTATATGGCAGGTACGAAAGTTCAAACTGGCTATACCACAATGCATTAAACAAGGAACAAGTTTCAACAAATACTCTATTCCTTTCTTTATTACAATTAATATGTCTCTTCATAATCACATAATACATGTATATTATAAGGTCCCAGAATATCCAGATGATATGACATTTTTTGTTCGTTATGAAATAGTGTCAATGAAATGCTGCAGTAGAAAAAAAGTTCTTGCAAATAAAATGAGAGAATATGCAATGAATACTTTAGGTAAAGTTATCCTACCTAAATATTTCTATTAAAGCTCAAGATTAAATATTTTATTACATCTGCTTCAATAACATCATATCTGATTACTGTTTTAATTGAAAGCCGTGGTCTCACGTTTGGTGTATGCGAAACTTATTTTGAAGTGAATAATATTGTGTTTATCACGAAACATTTCTAATGTACAAATATACATATAATCATATATCATACTACAAAGTTACCCAAGGGCAATTTTTCCTCATTCAATTTTAACAATTTATGCACAAATGCATGATAGAAATCATTAACTTTCCATAGAAGCCAGTGACTTCATAGTAACCATTGACTCCTTAGAAAGCTGTTTTACTCACCCCGGCGTCGTTAAGTTTTTACGTGCAAGATGGTATCGCCAAAAGTTACGAAACTTAACACACTCGGTCTCTGTGGTTATTTACATGTCCCCTATCTCCGAGTTACCTTTGTACACAGTAATGTCCCTTTTTATGCCCTACTCTACGGTGGGGACATTTTGATTTGCCCTTGTCCGTCCATGTGTGCAAGCGTTCCTGTGCTGTGTCACAAGTAGCTCTAAATATGCGGAAGCTAGTCAACAAACTTTACAAAAATATGGATCCTCATGTGAAGTTGTGCGCATGTGGATTAGTTCAGTTTTGATTAATTAAGTTATTGCCCTTAATTTTTTTTTTCAATTTGTGTCGCTCATAGCTGAAAAGTGTTTGAGCTAGAGACATGACACTTTACAGGGATGTTGGGCAGTATGTGTATATGTAGTTGTGCTCCTGGGGGTTTGCTTGTGGATTTATTCAATATTTGTACAGTTATTGCCCTTAACGTAGTAAAAATTTTGCAATTTTCAACTTTTGTCACGTGTAGCCAAAAATTATTTGACCTAGAGACATGAAACTATAAAAAAAAAATGGGTCAGTATGTGTATTTGTGTACCCTGTGGATTAATACAATATTTGTAGAGTTATTGCCCTTGACTTTGTAAAAGTTTACAATTTTCATCTTGTTTCGCACGTAACCCAAAAACTTTTTGACATGGAGTCATGAAACCTTACAGGAATGTTAGTTATTATTTTTGTGGGTTTGCTTGTGAATTTATTTAATGTTTGTTATTGAATACGAAACCAAACAGGAAACTAATCGCTCACTGGTTACTGATATACCAGTTTCTCGTTAACATGTGCAAGATGGATATAACCTTCTTGCATTACCTGAGTTGGTAAGATTTCGTTAAAATTGACGAAGGTGAAAGAGCGCCATCAAAATCTACATTTTATTTGCACCATTTAAAGAAGTTGCCAATAGATACTCTGTGAAAATCCTTATATTCCTTAAATTATTACTATAAGTTCACATAAATTCGGAAGCCTTCTTTATCTTCTGTATGTAATGTCGATATATATATTTGTTTGATAAAGCTATTGGATATAAGCTATAAGTACCTTTATTTATCCTTAATTTAAATAAATGTGTTACAATGACGCAGTCCATAATTGTGGTAGCCTGGAGGGATTCATGACTAGGTCATCAATACCTGATATGTGTATCACGTGATACACATTATCAGGAAAGTCGGTCAAGCAGGCCTCAGACCACAATTAATTTCACTATATGTTCTATATAAACATTAAACCCTGTGGCAATTTTACTAACTCTCCAATCAAATCAAAGTCACTTGTGCTTACAGTATCATCCAAGATAAATAATTCCAGCTATAGCAAACTAGGGGTCATTCATCATTTTTCCACAGAATTTCAGTTCAAAATACATCAGTCTGACAGTTTTCAGTAATTAGCCGGAACCATGTGAATTCTGTCATGTAGAAAAACACTAAAAAAATACTTACTCGCATAAAATCTGGATCAAAATTGGCATTTACCAACTATTTGAAATGAATTCTGTCAGGAAATGGCCTTTTTTCTATCTCTTTCATTCAATTATTCATTTATATCTGGCATTAAACACAGGCACTCTTTTATGCGGATTTACTTCCTTATTGTGGTCAACGAAAGGCAAATAACTGTGGACTGATTCCAAATTATTTACTCAAAAATGTTCATCTGATCTTAATAAAATTTTGCATACATCATTCCTAGGCTATCTCATATTATTCTGGAAAGTTTCAAGTCTTAATCACATATACTGATGAATTCACAGCCTGTTATGTACCATAGGTACTATTCAGCCCTGAAGCCAGGCCGCAGCTTATCAAATTAAAAGTACTCTAAAACTAAAATTGCTATAACTTTTTTATTACTTGGATGATTTTCATGAAATAAAAAGTTATCTCATCAGTGATTCAAATATTACTTAAATATGCATCTAAAACTAACATAAATAAACTTTTTTCTTAAATATCGTTTATAGACCAAATATATCCAAATTTAGACATATTACATAATACTATAACTGCATTACATATTTTTTGAAAATTCTCATTTTGTCAAATCGGTTATTTCTTGAAAGGCATGCATTTTACCTTTAAAATGATGTTTCATTTATTATCATAAGCCAACTGGTTCAAAAGTTATGTCCAGTAGAAAAGTGCCACTGCCTAATAATTACCTCCCCAGGTGGCTGCTCAGTCAATGTGGTCCAATGCACAGCATTCCACACACTGTTACCCCAGGTACTAATCACCACCAGGAATGCCAAAGTTTGGGTCCCTCTGGGTGATTCTTGAAAACCACCTTAGAAGACATTCCAGAAATTCCATTTACTGTATAAATATGGACCCAGCTCCTGACTCTTTATCAAAAAGCAACTTACCTTCATACTATACACAAGTGCTGTACAATTATGCGAGGCGACCGAAAGAAGAAATTAGCTGGGTTCAAGCAAAGGAACTCACCATGGAATAAAGGCTTGAAGTTTGACAACTCTTGTCATGTAGATACTGAGCCTAAGAGATCTATCACCAGACTGACTGTAGATGAATTTCCAGTGACATCCAGGCCTACTGCAGATGGTAGTGAGCTCTCAGGAAGTGCCATGCTGTTGCGACCAAGTGCTTCTGCGACTTCATCTACAATGAAAATAGACGATAAAAATTCCTGTTCGGGCATGAGAATTGTTGACAGTTTAAAACATTAAGTTTCTAAATAAATAAAGGGAGGTAATTCACTGAAGTTGTGCATAATCACCCCTTTGTGTACATTTATCTACCTGAATAAGTGCTTTTTATGTTTGTAGATACATCAGAGACACTAAACCTGTGTTATAATTGTGCAAAAGGCATGACCATCAGAAGGCATTAAGCCAGGACATAAAGGCTAGATGTAACTTTATACTAAGAGAAGATGAGAATTCATACTGGAGATATGAATACTATCAAAAAATATTTACCTCGTGTTCTGGATGCTACAGTGAGCTGTTATGCTGGGGACTGCTCTAAGTGTAGACGCTACTGATACCTGTGTTCTGGTGGAGTAACAAACAACTGGTGGAACCGCTCCATGTTCCTCAGCAGCCATAGAATTACAAACTTGTGCTACAAGAGAATGACAAACAATTAATTTTTGACATAGTTAAAATGAAAATAAGTGTGAGCGCTATCGAACAGATGAAATTGGGCACCAGCACGCAGAAACGTGAAGCGGTGAATCTATCTATTAGTGTGTCGCTACCAAAAAAAAAATGATTTCGCACGGAATGTTCATGGACGCCTCAGTTCTACCATTCACCGCTTAAATAACGGTGTTGCGGACAGCGCTGAGAAGAAATTGGGGTGTTTAGGGATTCGTCTCTCTGAGAGGGCAGCTTATAGCCTACATCAAATGCAAAGAGAAGAAACATATCAGAGACAGTATTAAAAAAAACCTGAAACAGTTAAACACAAACTTTTATCAAAGGGTAGACAACTCCATGAACATCTGAAATACAAGATGACACACTCTACAATATCATATTACAGGAAAGGTCAGTTGGATCTAACACCATTAACATCCAAGGGAGGCAACAGCAACCATACTTACTCAGAAAATCTATAAATTATCTCCCTTGATATAAACAGATAAACAAAAACAGTGTTTCTTCAGTGGGGAATAAATATTCGGTTGCGCACGAGACAACCAGCTTAAACAAATGTGCTGTCTGTGTACAGACCTGAAATTCAAACTTAACAAATGGTTTACTTAAAAAATGACGGACTATTCCTTTTAAAGCGAATTTCATATTTCATTACTGTATCATTCTACATAACCTGCATGATATTTTGAAATTGTTATCATCTCTGTTGTTATTTTACGCTGCGAAATAAATGTTATATTAATTAAATCACAGGCTTTTAGCATTTCTTTGCAATGCCAGAGTGCTTTAAGTAAAATTCCACAAGTTTTCATGGGCTATGACTGTTTATAAGCAATTATTCAAAGTCTAGCACATGTGAACTGACCAATTTTACTTGAAATACACTGTTATTGCTTAACAAGTAAAAAGAATGGGAGCAGAAACATACTTGTAGGATTATAATAGGAGTCCTTTAAATGTAGGGCAATATAAGGAAATATGCAGTCAGAATAAATGAAAGGACACGTAAGCACTCACCAACCTTTATCCCGAGGCCATCAACACCTTAAATATGTCTCTTCAACAGAGCGATTACTTACCTCAAACAAATAAACAGTCTCGGTATACCCCATGGCTGCAGCAAATGGCCCGGTTCACACACTTAAGCCTTTCGGTATTGATGCAATGGGGCTCAAATGGTTAGCACCGACACACAGTGGCACGTGGCACAGGTGCGAGACCTCTAAATCTGGTTCAACATACAGAATTTTATTGTGAACCAGGTAAAGAAGTTTATGAACATGCATGGTGTGCCACTGTACATCAGGAAACTTGGAAATAATAACAATACCATAGCCCACTGGTCCTTTCTTTTATACACCCCTGCCATATCATACAGCCCTGTCTGTTTAGCACAGATTTTTCATTGATTTTTTTCTAAATAATTTTTAAAAAATGCTTCCATTTTAACTTTTATTTAAAGGGAGGCTGTAACCTGTACAGGTAATGACCTCCTGGCTATATTTAAACAGACATTTCTAAACTGAAAGTAGCTTTTTGAGATTTAAAAAAAAAATGTATATATTATTATATAAAATTACATAATACAACGAAAATAAAAGCACTTGTGTAATTTAATTACAAACTCAGATTTATACATCAATTATCTGCTTCATGACCAAGTTTCATTAAAATTGCTCTAAAAATGAAAAAGTTATTACCTGTCAAAAAGATTTACTCCATGTAAAAACAAGCTTCTAATCAGGCCTCAGACCACAATTAATTTCACTATATGTTCTATATAAACATTAAACCCTGTGGCAATTTTACTAACTCTCCAATCAAATCAAAGTCACTTGTGCTTACAGTATCATCCAAGATAAATAATTCCAGCTATAGCAAACTAGGGGTCATTCATCATTTTTCCACAGAATTTCAGTTCAAAATACATCAGTCTGACAGTTTTCAGTAATTAGCCGGAACCATGTGAATTCTGTCATGTAGAAAAACACTAAAAAAATACTTACTCGCATAAAATCTGGATCAAAATTGGCATTTACCAACTATTTGAAATGAATTCTGTCAGGAAATGGCCTTTTTTCTATCTCTTTCATTCAATTATTCATTTATATCTGGCATTAAACACAGACACTCTTTTATGCGGATTTACTTCCTTATTGTGGTCAACGAAAGGCAAATAACTGTGGACTGATTCCTATTTACTCAAAAATGTTCATCTGATCTTAATAAAATTTTGCATACATCATTCCTAGGCTATCTCATATTATTCTGGAAAGTTTCAAGTCTTAATCACATATACTGATGAATTCACAGCCTGTTATGTACCATAGGTACTATTCAGCCCTGAAGCCAGGCCGCAGCTTATCAAATTAAAAGTACTCTAAAACTAAAATTGCTATAACTTTTTTATTACTTGGATGATTTTCATGAAATAAAAAGTAATCTCATCAGTGATTCAAATATTACTTAAATATGCATCTAAAACTAACATAAATAAACATTTTTCTTAAATATCGTTTATAGACCAAATATATCCAAATTTAGACATATTACATAATACTATAACTGCATTACATAATTTTTGAAAATTCTCATTTTGTCAAATCGGTTATTTCTTGAAAGGCATGCATTTTACCTTTAAAATGATGTTTCATTTATTATCATAAGCCAACTGGTTCAAAAGTTATGTCCAGTAGAAAAGTGCCACTGCCTAATAATTACCTCCCAGGTGGCTGCTCAGTCAATGTGGTCCAATGCACAGCATTCCACACACTGTTACCCCAGGTACTAATCACAACCAGGAATGCCAAAGTCTGGGTCCCTCTGGGTGATTCTTGAAAACCACCTTAGAAGACATTCCAGAAATTCCATTTACTGTATAAATATGGACCCAGCTCCTGACTCTTTATCAAAAAGCAACTTACCTTCATACTATACACAAGTGCTGTACAATAATGCAAGGCGACCGAAAGAAGAAATTAGCTGGGTTCAAGCAAAGGAACTCACCATGGAATAAAGGCTTGAAGTTTGACAACTCTTGTCATGTAGATACTGAGCCTAAGAGATCTATCACCAGACTGACTGTAGATGAATTTCCAGTGACATCCAGGCCTACTGCAGATGGTAGTGAGCTCTCAGGAAGTGCCATGCTGTTGCGACCAAGTGCTTCTGCGACTTCATCTACAATGAAAATAGACGATAAAAATTCCTGTTCGGGCATGAGAATTGTTGACAGTTTAAAACATTAAGTTTCTAAATAAATAAAGGGAGGTAATTCACTGAAGTTGTGCATAATCACCCCCTTTGTGTACATTTATCTACCTAAATAAGTGCTTTTTATGTTTGTAGATACATCAGAGACACTAAACCTGTGTTAAAATTGTGCAAAAGGCATGACCATCAGAAGGCATTAAGCCAGAACATAAAGGCTAGATGTAACTTTATACTAAGAGAAGATGAGAATTCATACTGGAGATATGAATACTATCAAAAAATATTTACCTCGTGTTCTGGATGCTACAGTGAGCTGTTATGCTGGGGACTGCTCTAAGTGTAGACGCTACTGATACCTGTGTTCTGGTGGAGTAACAAACAACTGGTGGAACCGCTCCATGTTCCTCAGCAGCCATAGAATTACAAACTTGTGCTACAAGAGAATGACAAACAATTAATTTTTGACATAGTTAAAATGAAAATAAGTGTGAGCGCTATCGAACAGATGAGATTGGGCACCAGCACGCAGAAACGTGAAGCAGTGAATCTATCTATTAGTGTGTCGCTACCAAAAAAAAAAATGATTTCGCACGGAATGTTCATGGACGCCTCAGTTCTACCATTCACCGCTTAAATAACGGTGTGGCGGACAGCGCTGAGAAGAAATTGGGGTGTTTAGGGATTCGTCTCTCTGAGAAAGCAGCTAATAGCCTACATCAAATGCAAAGAGAAGAAACATATCAGAGACAGTATTAAAAAAAACCTGAAACAGTTAAACACAAACTTTTATCAAAGGGTAGACAACTCCATGAACATCTGAAATACAAGATGACACACTCTACAATATCTCATTACAGGAAAGGTCAGTTGGATCTAACACCATTAACATCCAAGGGAGGCAACAGCAACCATACTTACTCAGAAAATCTATAAATTATCTCCCTTGATATAAACAGATAAACAAAAACAGTGTTTCTTCAGTGGGGAATAAATATTCGGTTGCGCACGAGACAACCAGCTTAAACAAATGTGCTGTCTGTGTACAGACCTGAAATTCAAACTTAATAAATGGTTTACTTAAAAAGTGACGGACTATTCCTTTTAAAGCGAATTTCATATTTCATTACTGTATCATTCTATATAACCTGCATGATATTTTGAAATTGTTATCATCTCTGTTGTTATTTTACGCTGCGAAATAAATGTTATATTAATTAAATCACAGGCTTTTAGCATTTCTTTGCAATGCCAGAGTGCTTTAAGTAAAATTCCACAAGTTTTCATGGGCTATGGCTGTTTATAAGCAATTATTCAAAGTCTAGCACATGTGAACTGACCAATTTTACTTGAAATACACTGTTATTGCTTAACAAGTAAAAAGAATGGGAGCAGAAACATACTTGTAGGATTATAATAGGAATCCTTTAAATGTAGGGCAATATAAGGAAATATGCAGTCAGAATAAATGAAAGGACAAGTAAGCACTCACCAACCTTTATCCCGAGGCCATCAACACCTTAAATATGTCTCTTCAACAAAGCGATTACTTACCTCAAACAAATAAACAGTCTCGGTATACCCCATGGCTGCAGCAAATGGCCCGGTTCACACACTTAAGCCTTTCGGTATTGATGCAATGGGGCTCAAATGGTTAGCACCGACACACAGTGGCAAGTGGCACAGGTGCGAGACCTCTAAATCTGGTTCAACATACAGAATTTTATTGTGAACCAGGTAAAGAAGTTTATGAACATGCATGGTGTGCCACTGTACATCAGGAAACTTCGAAATAATAACAATACCATAGCCCACTGGTCCTTTCTTTTATACACCCCTGCCATATCATACAGCCCTGTCTGTTTAGCACAGATTTTTCATTGATTTTTTTTCTAAATAATTTTTAACTTTTATTTAAAGGGAGGCTGTAACCTGTACAGGTAATGACCTCCTGGCTATATTTAAACAGACATTTCTAAACTGAAAGTAGCTTTTTGAGATTTTAAAAAAAAAATGTATATATTATTATGTATATATTATTATATAAAATTACATAATACAAAGAAAATAAAAGCACTTGTGTAATTTAATTACAAACTCAGATTTATACATCAATTATCTGCTTCATGACCAAGTTTCATTAAAATTGCTCTAAAATGAAAAAGTTATTACCTGTCAAACAGATTTACTCCATGTAAAAACAAGCTTCTAATCATTTACTCAAAAATGTTCATCTGATCTTAATAAAATTTTGCATACATCATTCCTAGGCTATCTCATATTATTCTGGAAAGTTTCAAGTCTTAATCACATATACTGATGAATTCACAGCCTGTTATGTACCATAGGTACTATTCAGCCCTGAAGCCAGGCCGCAGCTTATCAAATTAAAAGTACTCTAAAACTAAAATTGCTATAACTTTTTTATTACTTTAATGATTTTCATGAAATAAAAAGTAATCTCATCAGTGATTCAAATATTACTTAAATATGCATCTAAAACTAACATAAATAAACATTTTTCTTAAATATCGTTTATAGACCAAATATATCCAAATTTAGACATATTACATAATACTATAACTGCATTACAAAATATTTGAAAATTCTCATTTTGTCAAATCGGTTATTTCTTGAAAGGCATGCATTTTACCTTTAAAATGATGTTTCATTTATTATAATAAGCCAACTGGTTCAAAAGTTATGTCCAGTAGAAAAGTGCCACTGCCTAATAATTACCTCCCCAGGTGGCTGCTCAGTCAATGTGGTCCAATGCACAGCATTCCACACACTGTTACCCCAGGTACTAATCACCACCAGGAATGCCAAAGTCTGGGTCCCTCTGGGTGATTCTTGAAAACCACCTTAGAAGACATTCCAGAAATTCCATTTACTGTATAAATATGGACCCAGCTCCTGACTCTTTATCAAAAAGCAACTTACCTTCATACTATACACAAGTGCTGTACAATTATGCGAGGCGACCGAAAGAAGAAATTAGCTGGGTTCAAGCAAAGGAACTCACCATGGAATAAAGGCTTGAAGTTTGACAACTCTTGTCATGTAGATACTGAGCCTAAGAGATCTATCACCAGACTGACTGTAGATGAATTTCCAGTGACATCCAGGCCTACTGCAGATGGTAGTGAGCTCTCAGGAAGTGCCATGCTGTTGCGACCAAGTGCTTCTGCGACTTCATCTACAATGAAAATAGACGATAAAAAATTCCTGTTCGGGCATGAGAATTGTTGACAGTTTAAAACATTAAGTTTCTAAATAAATAAAGGGAGGTAATTCACTGAAGTTGTGCATAATCACCCCCTTTGTGTACATTTATCTACCTGAATAAGTGCTTTTTATGTTTGTAGATACATCAGAGACACTAAACCTGTGTTATAATTGTGCAAAAGGCATGACCATCAGAAGGCATTAAGCCAGGACATAAAGGCTAGATGTAACTTTATACTAAGAGAAGATGAGAATTCATACTGGAGATATGAATACTATCAAAAAATATTTACCTCGTGTTCTGGATGCTACAGTGAGCTGTTATGCTGGGGACTGCTCTAAGTGTAGACGCTACTGATACCTGTGTTCTGGTGGAGTAACAAACAACTGGTGGAACCGCTCCATGTTCCTCAGCAGCCATAGAATTACAAACTTGTGCTACAAGAGAATGACAAACAATTAATTTTTGACATAGTTAAAATGAAAATAAGTGTGAGCGCTATCGAACAGATGAGATTGGGCACCAGCACGCAGAAACGTGAAGCAGTGAATCTATCTATTAGTGTGTCGCTACCAAAAAAAAAATGATTTCGCACGGAATGTTCATGGACGCCTCAGTTCTACCATTCACCGCTTAAATAACGGTGTGGCGGACAGCGCTGAGAAGAAATTGGGGTGTTTAGGGATTCGTCTCTCTGAGAAAGCAGCTAATAGCCTACATCAAATGCAAAGAGAAGAAACATATCAGAGACAGTATTAAAAAAAACCTGAAACAGTTAAACACAAACTTTTATCAAAGGGTAGACAACTCCATGAACATCTGAAATACAAGATGACACACTCTACAATATCTCATTACAGGAAAGGTCAGTTGGATCTAACACCATTAACATCCAAGGGAGGCAACAGCAACCATACTTACTCAGAAAATCTATAAATTATCTCCCTTGATATAAACAGATAAACAAAAACAGTGTTTCTTCAGTGGGGAATAAATATTCGGTTGCGCACGAGACAACCAGCTTAAACAAATGTGCTGTCTGTGTACAGACCTGAAATTCAAACTTAACAAATGGTTTACTTAAAAAGTGACGGACTATTCCTTTTAAAGCGAATTTCATATTTCATTACTGTATCATTCTATATAACCTGCATGATATTTTGAAATTGTTATCATCTCTGTTGTTATTTTACGCTGCGAAATAAATGTTATATTAATTAAATCACAGGCTTTTAGCATTTCTTTGCAATGCCAGAGTGCTTTAAGTAAAATTCCACAAGTTTTCATGGGCTATGGCTGTTTATAAGCAATTATTCAAAGTCTAGCACATGTGAACTGACCAATTTTACTTGAAATACACTGTTATTGCTTAACAAGTAAAAAGAATGGGAGCAGAAACATACTTGTAGGATTATAATAGGAGTCCTTTAAATGTAGGGCAATATAAGGAAATATGCAGTCAGAATAAATGAAAGGACACGTAAGCACTCACCAACCTTTATCCCGAGGCCATCAACACCTTAAATATGTCTCTTCAACAGAGCGATTACTTACCTCAAACAAATAAACAGTCTCGGTATACCCCATGGCTGCAGCAAATGGCCCGGTTCACACACTTAAGCCTTTCGGTATTGATGCAATGGGGCTCAAATGGTTGGCACCGACACACAGTGGCACGTGGCACAGGTGCGAGACCTCTAAATCTGGTTCAACATACAGAATTTTATTGTGAACCAGGTAAAGAAGTTTATGAACATGCATGGTGTGCCACTGTACATCAGGAAACTTGGAAATAATAACAATACCATAGCCCACTGGTCCTTTCTTTTATACACCCCTGCCATATCATACAGCCCTGTCTGTTTAGCACAGATTTTTCATTGATTTTTTTCTAAATAATTTTTAACTTTTATTTAAAGGGAGGCTGTAACCTGTACAGGTAATGACCTCCTGGCTATATTTAAACAGACATTTCTAAACTGAAAGTAGCTTTTTGAGATTTTAAAAAAAAAATGTATATATTATTATATAAAATTACATAATACAAAGAAAATAAAAGCACTTGTGTAATTTAATTACAAACTCAGATTTATACATCAATTATCTGCTTCATGACCAAGTTTCATTAAAATTGCTCTAAAAATGAAAAAGTTATTACCTGTCAAACAGATTTACTCCATGTAAAAACAAGCTTCTAATCATTTACTCAAAAATGTTCATCTGATCTTAATAAAATTTTGCATACATCATTCCTAGGCTATCTCATATTATTCTGGAAAGTTTCAAGTCTTAATCACATATACTGATGAATTCACAGCCTGTTATGTACCATAGGTACTATTCAGCCCTGAAGCCAGGCCGCAGCTTATCAAATTAAAAGTACTCTAAAACTAAAATTGCTATAACTTTTTTATTACTTGGATGATTTTCATGAAATAAAAAGTTATCTCATCAGTGATTCAAATATTACTTAAATATGCATCTAAAACTAACATAAATAAACTTTTTTCTTAAATATCGTTTATAGACCAAATATATCCAAATTCAGACATATTACATAATACTATAACTGCATTACATAATTTTTGAAAATTCTCATTTTGTCAAATCGGTTATTTCTTGAAAGGCATGCATTTTACCTTTAAAATGATTTTTCATTTATTATCATAAGCCAACTGGTTCAAAAGTTTTGTCCAGTAGAAAAGTGCCACTGCCTAATAATTACCTCCCCAGGTGGGCTGCTCAGTCAATGTGGTCCAATGCACAGCATTTCCACACACTGTTACCCCAGGTACTAATCACCACCAGGAATGCCAAAGTCTGGGTCCCTCTGGGTGATTCTTGAAAACCACCTTAGAAGACATTCCAGAAATTCCATTTACTGTATAAATATGGACCCAGCTCCTGACTCTTTATCAAAAAGCAACTTACCTTCATACTATACACAAGTGCTGTACAATTATGCGAGGCGACCGAAAGAAGAAATTAGCTGGGTTCAAGCAAAGGAACTCACCATGGAATAAAGGCTTGAAGTTTGACAACTCTTGTCATGTAGATACTGAGCCTAAGAGATCTATCACCAGACTGACTGTAGATGAATTTCCAGTGACATCCAGGCCTACTGCAGATGGTAGTGAGCTCTCAGGAAGTGCCATGCTGTTGCGACCAAGTGCTTCTGCGACTTCATCTACAATGAAAATAGACGATAAAAATTCCTGTTCGGGCATGAGAATTGTTGACAGTTTAAAACATTAAGTTTCTAAATAAATAAAGGGAGGTAATTCACTGAAGTTGTGCATAATCACCCCCTTTGTGTACATTTATCTACCTGAATAAGTGCTTTTTATGTTTGTAGATACATCAGAGACACTAAACCTGTGTTATAATTGTGCAAAAGGCATGACCATCAGAAGGCATTAAGCCAGGACATAAAGGCTAGATGTAACTTTATACTAAGAGAAGATGAGAATTCATACTGGAGATATGAATACTATCAAAAAATATTTACCTCGTGTTCTGGATGCTACAGTGAGCTGTTATGCTGGGGACTGCTCTAAGTGTAGACGCTACTGATACCTGTGTTCTGGTGGAGTAACAAACAACTGGTGGAACCGCTCCATGTTCCTCAGCAGCCATAGAATTACAAACTTGTGCTACAAGAGAATGACAAACAATTAATTTTTGACATAGTTAAAATGAAAATAAGTGTGAGCGCTATCGAACAGATGAAATTGGGCACCAGCACGCAGAAAACGTGAAGCGGTGAATCTATCTATTAGTGTGTCGCTACCAAAATATAATGATTTCGCACGGAATGTTCATGGACGCCTCAGTTCTACCATTCACCGCTTAAATAACGGTGTTGCGGACAGCGCTGAGAAGAAATTGGGGTGTTTAGGGATTCGTCTCTCTGAGAAAGCAGCTTATAGCCTACATCAAATGCAAAGAGAAGAAACATATCAGAGACAGTATTAAAAAAAAACCTGAAACAGTTAAACACAAACTTTTATCAAAGGGTAGACAACTCCATGAACATCTGAAATACAAGATGACACACTCTACAATATCTCATTACAGGAAAGGTCAGTTGGATCTAACACCATTAACATCCAAGGGAGGCAACAGCAACCACACTTACTCAGAAAATCTATAAATTATCTCCCTTGATATAAACAGATAAACAAAAACAGTGTTTTCTTCAGTGGGAATAAATATTCGGTTGCGCACGAGACAACCAGCTTAAACAAATGTGCTGTCTGTGTACAGACCTGAAATTCAAACTTAACAAATGGTTTACTTAAAAAGTGACGGACTATTCCTTTTAAAGCGAATTTCATATTTCATTACTGTATCATTCTACATAACCTGCATGATATTTTGAAATTGTTATCATCTCTGTTGTTATTTTACGCTGCGAAATAAATGTTTATATTAATTAAATCACAGGCTTTTAGCATTTCTTTGCAATGCCAGAGTGCTTTAAGTAAAATTCCACAAGTTTTCATGGGCTATGGCTGTTTATAAGCAATTATTCAAAGTCTAGCACATGTGAACTGACCAATTTTACTTGAAAATACACTGTTATTGCTTAACAAGTAAAAAGAATGGGAGCAGAAACATACTTGTAGGATTATAATAATAGGAGTCCTTTAAATGTAGGGCAATATAAGGAAATATTGCAGTCAGAATAAATGAAAGGACACGTAAGCACTCACCAGCCTTTATCCCGAGGCCATCAACACCTTAAATATGTCTCTTCAAACAGAGCGATTACTTACCTCAAACAAATAAAAAGTCTCGGTATACCCCATGGCTGCAGCAAATGGCCCGGTTCACACACTTAAGCTTTATTGATGCAATGGGGCTCAAATGGTTAGCACCGACACACAGTGGCACGTGGCACAGGTGCGAGACCTCTAAATCTGGTTCAACATACAGAATTTTATTGTGAACCAGGTAAAGAAGTTTATGAACATGCATGGTGTGTCACTGTACATCAGGAAACTTGGAAATAATAGCAATACCATAGCCCACTGGTCCTTTCTTTTATACACCCCTGCCATATCATACAGCCCTGTCTGTTTAGCACAGATTTTTCATTGATTTTTTTCTAAATAATTTTTAAAAAATGCTTCCATTTTAACTTTTATTTAAAGGGAGGCTGTAACCTGTACAGGTAATGACCTCCTGGCTATATTTAAACAGACATTTCTAAACTGAAAGTAGCTTTTTGAGATTTTAAAAAAAAAATGTTTATATTATTATATAAAATTACATAATACAAAGAAAATAAAAGCACTTGTGTAATTTAATTACAAACTCAGATTTATACATCAATTATCTGCTTCATGACCAAGTTTCATTAAAATTGCTCTAAAAATGAAAAAGTTATTACCTGTCAAACAGATTTACTCCATGTAAAAACAAGCTTCTAATCAGGCCTCAGACCACAATTAAATTCACTATATGTTCTATATAAAACATTAAACCCTGTGGCAATTTTACTAACTCTCCAATCAAATCAAAGTCACTTGTGCTTACAGTATCATCCAAGAGTAAATATTCAACTATAGAAAACGGGGGTATTCATCTTTTTTCCCCACGAATTTCAGTTAAAAAAACTCATCTGAATTTTTTCATAATTACCAAACCTTGAATTTTCTGTAGAAAACACTAAAAAAATATTACTCGCAAAAAATTGGGATAAAATTGGCTTTTACCAACTATTTGAAAGAATTCTGTAGGAAAGGGCCCTTTTTTTATCTCTTTCATTAATTTATTCATTTATTTGGGATTAAACACGGGGCCTCTTTTATGCTTTACTTTTTATTGTGGAACGAAAGGAAAAAACTTATGTTTCCCACAGTGTGCACACCTAAATTTTTGTTTTTTTATTATTTTTTAGGTGAATAATTTAAATTTTTAAATTTTAAAAAAAGAAAGAAAAAAAAATTTTAAAATATTTTTTAAAAAAGAAAAATAAACTATTGTAAAAAGAATTTCCAATGTGCTTTTATAGTATTAAAAATTTCTTTCAAAATGTTAAAAACCCAAAAATTTGTTTCTCGGGCCATTTCTAATAGAATTTAATTAATTTCCCCAAAATTTTTAAGTATTTTAAAAAAAAAGAAATTTTAATTAAATCCTCTGAAAAAAATAATATCTTGAGGTATTTGGTTTTTTTTTGGTTAAGAGAATTTTTATTTATGAGTGGGCTTTAAAAAAATTTCTCACGAGTGGCGAAAAATAATTATAGAATTAAAATTTTGGATGAATATTTAAATCATTTTATTTATAATATTAAATGTTTAAATAAAAAAAACAATCAAAGTCACATTCAAAATCAATGCCCTTGAGACTTTTATCCAAAATAAATATTGCAGAAAAATCCGTACAAATTAATTTTAAAATTATTATCATTATTGTATTTTAGTGCTATTTTTTTGGCAAGTAAAAATAAACAAACAAAATGTATTTATTTTTTGATATTTTAAATCAATATATAAAATACTCTTAGTCAACATATTGATTTTTTTCCTTCAACTAATAAAATAGGGGGTATTTATAGAGAAAATTTTCCCTACCGAGATTTAAAATTTTTTCATAGATACATTGGTAAATGAATTTTTAAATTAAATTTTATCAAACAAAATTTCCAAAAAGCTCCTTTAAAAAAATGTAAAATGTAATATGAGTTTTGTAATATGCAGAAAATATAAGCAATAAAAATTAAACAGTAATGTATTGAAGATTCTAATTTTTTTGCACAAATTACATACAATTAGGGATATATTTCCATAAAAAACTTCCGAAAATTTCATTTAAATGTTTCATCGTTATAAAGTGTTTTCATGTTTATATTTAAGAAAAAAAATTTTTAATTTACTGAAAATTAAAGGAATCCAGAGGAAAAAAAACCCAAAAAACATACATGTAATTTGAATTTCGTACTAGTATTTGGGACATTTATTTTAATAAAAAAACATGGAAAAAAGATACAAAAAAAACAACAAAATCGATTTTTTTTTCTTTTTGCCACATTTAGTGAAAAGCGATTTTTTTTTTTCAATTTTGGTTTCATTTTTTACAAATTTATTCGGGGAAAAAAACGAAGGTAGGGTATTCTGAAATTTTATACACTTAATTTACTCGAAAAAATGGACAAAATCCCCGGTGGGTCCCTCTCCCTTTTAAACAAAAATTTTTGTTCAATTTAAAATACCTCCTTATAATTTTTATTTTTATTTAAAATTTTGAGACATACTTCCTTTTTATTTTTTATGTAAGTTTCGTAGTCTGAAATAAATAAACAGTTAAAAACGCAATTTAAAATGTGAATTAAAGTAGATTGTTTAAAACATTTTTTTATAAAAGCGTAGATTTTTTTTAAAAAATACAAAGTTTTTTAAAAAACAAAGTATTAGAACTTGACATGTAAAAAAAAACACATTTAAAAATTTAATTTTTAAATTTTTTATCTTCAAAGTTTTTTTTGTTATTTTGGTTAAATTTTAAAATTTTTTAAAAAAAAAGGATATTCTAATGAATGATGAAAAGGTAAAACATATTCCCTTTTGTTGTTATGATTTATTTTAAAATACGTTAAAAGGGTTTTTTTAAACTACTTCGAACAAATTTTTAATATTCCCCCTTGAAACCGGCCTGCATGCAATGTAGAATTTTTCTTTTTTTTATTAAAACAGGTTTTGCTTCATTAGTTCCCCCCTGCCAACCCGTCATTTACTTATACTTCAATCGGGAATTTTATGCGGGCATATCCAAAACAAAAAACTTCTATAAAAAAAACGGCGACTTCAGGGATAATTAAAAGAGGGTTATTATTGTCAAAACCACAAATTTTCCTTTGCAAATTTCAGATATTTTTTACTCCTTTTTAAAATGATTTTCATCAAAAACATTTTTAAAAATTCTGTGTATAAATGGTTTTTGTATTCAAAATAAACTTTCCTTGGTACTTTTGAAGTTTTATTTATAAATACAAAACATATTGCAAAAATGTCTCTCAACTTTCAGAATATCTCCCATTCGACTCTCTCCTACCCCTTTTAAAACCCTCAAAAATTTTTAGTTAAATTGTGTGGAATCTTAAAATCTCCTTGTACAATATCCTTAACTTTCAACCATTTCAACGAATGGAAAACGTACTCGCATTTTCCCCCGACAAAAAAACACAACTCTGACTTTTTGAAAAATACGAGAAATACTGTTTTTTCCAATTGTCTTTACTTGTTCTTTCAAAGGGTCTGTCGCTAAATTTAATAAAAACAACCTAAGTTTTTCAAAGGCAAAAGGGGTTTCTAAAAAAAATATCGACTTAGGGTTTAATGGAACACTCGATTAGACGCATTTAAAATTTCGAAAAAATAGGGTGTATTAAGGGATACTTTAAATTTTTAGCATCTTCAAAATAAATCATATCAACTGGAAATTTCAGTCATATCGCCCAAATTCAGCAATAATTTTTAAATTTAAAATACTAACATTGGATAGGGGAAAATCGGGGCATTTTTTTAACTGTCGAAACAATTCCCTATTCTGTTAAAATTTTTAATGTAAAATTTGCTGAATTCATGGGGTTATTTTTAATACCAAAAACATAATCCTTTTTGTTTTCATGTTTTTAGTTCCCCTTTTAAAGAAACAGGATTTTTGAGAGCAGGTGAAAACAAACTGCATCTGAAAAATAAAAAGCAACAACGTTTTATTAACCCGATTTTCATTGA